GGGGTCACAGGGAGTTCTAACTGCTCTATGGTAAGAAAACCAAAGACACACAGCAAAACGTATAGGAACTTAGAATTCATTTTATTATGAAGAACATTCTGGTAGGCTTCCAAATTGGTTTAACACTAGATATATCAATATAACATTGCCCAAGTGATCACTGTCTCTCACTCTATATATATATTGAGTGGTCTTTTATTTTAGTTGTGGAAGAACATGGATTTTGAAGTATTTTCCAGAGTGATTTGGGGATTTTTTTTTAATCAGGGATTTTTCAGTTTTCAGACACCAGAATTCCTGCTAGAGAGGCCAGTAGCAGGACCCTGCCTGCTCAGAGCTAGCATCTTGGACCCAGCTGGAGGTGGCTGACCTCCTGGCCAGTTGGGTCCAGGAAGACATGCTTTCACAGTTCAAAGCAGGTCACCACACTGGGAACACCTTCTGGGAGACAGCTGCCTAGGTGGCTGGGCATGGGGCCCATATGGCAGTAGTGCTGCACAAAGGCCAACTCTGCAACCACAGCCCACTGGCAGCTGGCCCAGAGAGGCAGATGGCTTTACTGGCTATGCAGTCCCCATCCGGGTCTGGCAGGTGCACAGCAGGTCACAGCCAGACTGCTGCAGTGGATGTTGGGTGCAGGGAATTTTCAGGGCCGCTTCAGCAGTCTAGATGACACAAGGGGTAGTGTCCCCAGGTATCAATTGGCTGGGCCCCAGAAGCTCCTGAGAGCAAGTAGCCCTGAGCTACCTGCCAGGGCAGCTTTTTGTACTGATGAGGCCAGGACAGGGCAGCTTTTCATACTGAAGGGGACAGCACAGGTGCTGGCTCTGGGCTCTAGCTCCCTCTGGCTGAAGATCCGGGAGGAGCCAGGCAGGGTTATTTTGCCCCAAGTGGCTCAATTTTCCCACACCAAAGTGCATATCTGGGCACATGCACCAGGGCAAAAAGCTCCGGTTCAAATTTGTACCACTTCTATTTGAGCTGCTGCAAGGTCACGTGCTTGCATGTGTGGATGCCCCTGACTTCATCTCTGCATGCCCAAGCAATGCTCTTATATTCTTCCCTAGTTATTTGTCCAAGTTTCCACTTCTTATAAGCTTCCTTTTTGTGAATTAGTTTACTGACGAGTTCCCTGCTAAGTCAAGCTGGTCTTCTGCCATACTTGCTTGTCTTCTTGCACATCAGGATGGTTTGTTCCTGCACTCTCAGTAAGGCTCATTTAAAGTACAGCCTGCTTTCCTGGACTCCTCTCTTTCTCAGACTGGCTTCCCAGGGGATCCTGCCCTTGAGTTCCCTAAGTAAGTTGAAGTCTGCTTTTCTGAAGTCTAGGGTCCTTACTCTGCTGTTCTCCATCCTTCTTTTCCTCAGGATCCTGAACTCAATCATCTCATGGTCACTGCCCAAGTTGCCATCCACTACTACATTCCCTACCAATTTTTCCTTTTTTGTGAGCAGCAGGTCAAGAAGAGCATGGCCCCTAATTGGCTGCTCCAGCACTTACACCAGGAAGTTGTCCCCAGCACTCCAAAAATGTCCTGGATTGCCTGTGCACTTCTGTATTGCCCTCCCAGCAGACGTCAGGGTGATTGAAGTCCCCTATGAGAACTAGGGCTTATCGCTGGAAAACTTCCATTAGCTGTTTTAAGAAAACCTCATCCGCCACTTCCTCCTAGTTTGGTGGTCCATAGCAGGCACCCATTACAATGTCACCTTTGTTGCTCTCTCCTGTAACCTTAACCTAGAGATTTTCAACAGACCTATCTTCAGTTTCATACTGGAGCTCTGAGCAATCATATAGCTCTTTTACATAAAGTGCAACCCCTCCTCCTCTTTTCTACTGCCCATCCTTCTGGAACAGTTTATACCCATGAATGCCAGTGCTGCAGTCATGCAAGTTCCCGCCAAGTCTTTGTTATTCCAATCATGTTATAGTTCTGTGACTGTGCAAGGACTTCCAGTTCTTCCTGCTCATTTCCCAGACTGTGCCTTTGTGCAGGCACCTGAGGTAACTAGTTGATTACCCTTATTTCTCAAGAAGTGTGAGAAAAGCTTCCCTATTGCCTCCTCCTGCTTGCTTTTCCTCCAGGTCTCCCACTTCCCCATTTACCTGAGGCTTTGGTCTGCATTACCCAGTGAACCTATTTTAAAGCCCTCCTCACTAGGTTAGTGAGCCTGTCTGTGAAGATGATCTTCCCTTTCTTCATCAGGTGGATCCCATCTCTTCCCAGTAATCCTTCTTGGAATAACTTCTCATGGTTGAAGAAGCCAAATCCCTGCTGGTGATAGCACCTATGTAGCAAGGTACTGGTTTGCAGAATGTACCTGTTCCTGCCCAAGCCCTTTCCCTTGACCAGAAGGATCAAAGAGAATATGATCTGAGCCCCACACCCCTTCACCCTTGCACCCAAAGCCCTGTAGTCACTTTTGATCTACTGTGGGTCTCCCCTGGGAGTATCATTGGTGCCCACATGGATAAGCAGCATGGGGTAGTAGTCAGACAGCCAAATGAGTCTCTATAATCCCTCCGTGACATCTCAGATCTGGACTATGGGCAAGCAGCAGAGTTCCAGAGACAACAGGTCAGGTCAGCAGATGGCTCCCTCTGTCCTCTACAGAAGCGAGTCTCCAACTATCACCACCCATTGCTTTTTCTTGGTGGCAGTTTTCTTGATACTTCCCACCTAGGGGTGGCCTGGTTTATTTTTTTCTACCAATGAAGCATGTTTCTCCCTCTCTGCTGCCAGGGCTGCATATCTGTTTTCCAGATGAACTGCTTCAGGTGGAGGTAAAGGTTTCTGCTTGCTTACAGAGGTCACAAGCTTCCAGCTTCCACCCTCCTGGGAGTCTGTGTCTTCTCTCTTTTCTAGTGCTGCCTCTAGCAGTTTTTCCTGCACAGTTCTAGAGGTTTTCTCCAGCATCAAACTGATGAACTCCTTATGGCAGAGGATACTTCAGAGCCTCACCACCTTCTCCTGTATCTCCCTCACCTGTTCCCTGAGAGACACCACCAGGAGGTATTGCTGACATTGCAGGCATCTTCCACCTGGCCATCACTGGAAGGAACCTGCAAGCCACAGTCTCCACAGCACCAAACCTGGACCTGGGGGGAAGCCTTAATGGTGATCCTGCCTGGACAGAAACTTCACAGGTGTAAGCAGAGGCAGTGGCAGTGACTCTGGCATTCCAACAACCTCCAGCCATTTCCCTGGGTCTTTGATTCTGCCGCTTCTCTCTTAGTGCCCTTCTTCCAAGCACACCTTCCCTAGTGAACTTGCCTGGAAGCTGGCCTGTTTACTACTTGTTGGCCCCAAGATGTACTTTTTTCCTGCTTCCTCATACCAAACTGAAAGCCTCTCCTCTTAAAAGGCAGGGGGCAAACCGAGCTGCAAACTGTCCTGCAAACTGCTTCCCCTGTTTGCAGCCCCTGGTTGCTCAAGGAGTCTCCTATTTACACCCTGCTGTGCCTGGACTGGCTCCGCCTCCTCATTAGTGTTTCTGTCAGGTCCAGGCAGCAATCACTCAGCAATCAGCAGTCACTCAGCCAGCAAGCCTCCCAGCTTCTCAGAGCACACTTCCCAAACACACACAGCCCACCAAACAAACACTCAGCAAACCAAAGGCACAGGCAGCTCTGGATCACTTACCTTCCCTGGACAAGATCTGGTGCCTGGTTTCTCTTCCCCTTCCTCCTCTTGCTCCCAGCAAACTGCCTGCAAACTGCTTACCCTGTTTGCAGCCCCTGTTTGGTGGCTCCTTGGTCACTGGATCCTCAGTCTTTCATCATTGGCTCCATGATTGTTCCCTTAGTTTTAAGGATGCTTCATTAAACTCTCCCATTGCCTGATTTCTGGTGCATTTCTTTAGGCACAGAAAACCCCACTTCCAGGTGTTCAATTCCATTTTCTGTTGCATCAAATCAAGGCTCTGAACTTCTATAGATTTTCACAACCACCTCCTTATCCTGCCAGCTCTTAAAGAACTTAATGATCTGGCTCTGAGAGATTCAATTAATTTTTCCAGTAATCTTTATCTGAAGATATGTTCCAATATACCAGACTGGCTACAAAGAACACATAGCAATATATCTTATGATTAAAGCAGTCATCTTTTGCCAACCTTATGTAACAGGATATTAGCTTACCATAGAATCATGAATAGGAAAATGCATTCCTCTCAGAGCCTACTGCTGCTCCTATTAAATTCAGGGGATGTAACTGTCGACTTCAAAAGAAAAGAATCAGGTTCTATATGTACAATAATATCAAATTGCATCTAATATTTTAGGGAAAACAAGAAATTAATAGTGACTGCCAGATGAAATACTGAGATTTTGGAAGGAAAATATATTTTTAGATTCAAGTACAATTATACTGAAATTTAAAATAACAGCTTAAAAGGGACGGAGAGCTGTTGGATACTTACTTTAATGAAGTAGCTATATTAGTCATATTATCTTACTCTTTCCAGAAAGGATGCAGAAAACCATGAGATGAAAATAGCCAGGCAGGTGAAGTGTTGTGATGAGTGCTCCTGACTGACTGAAAACCGCATACATCCTTGTTTCATTACCCCATCTTCCAGTAGTGTAGATGCAACACTGGACTCAACAGTGTATCTAGGGGGCAGGGGGTGGAATGACACTACCCGCTGCCCCAAAAGGCTTTTCTATTGGAGACACATTGGTGCATCTAGGGGCTGAAGTGGGGAGAGAACAGGGCACCAGGAGGGGTCCCCAGGGAGCCTGCACTGCTGCCTGTTTCTCTAATGTCCCAGTTCCATTTATGTCTATTTTGCACATAAAAAAGTCATATGAGTAGCTTATTCTGTGACAGCTCAGACTAAAGGTCATTGTTATTGTTCCTTGCTACTAGATGTTAGAAGAGTGAGAAACTGTTTGTCTTGATCAAATGACTACCTCTGGATATACTGCAGACAGATGATACCTAGCCGATTTTTCCTTATACTTCTTATTTCAGGGATAATTCTCCATTAGATGGAATAAAGTTATTCCTGTTGAGGAGTTTTGTGTCATTTATCCACTGCATTTTTATACTCATGTAATACTGATTACACATTATCAGTCCAGGCACTAAGATAATTAGTCTTGTTGGTACATAATCATAGGTAAATCTGTTTATGGTATGAGCAGTAGTACCTGAGTCAGAACAAGACAGTCCTTAGAATTTTGGGGGCACCATTGAGGTGATTCATTGAGGTCTCCATTGATGCTTTGATTTATAGCCCAGATTAAGATTAAAGGGCAGTTCCTAGTAAATGTTAACAGGACCATAAACAACCCATGGTTGTTAGGAAAAATTCACCATGACAGACTTCCAACTCCAGCAGTTAGTTCATATTTGCAGATTACTTTTAAATGACAAGATTTTGAAATTCTAGGTCTGATCTCATGTAAATTATGCAGATTCACCAGGCTCTTCCTTTTCAACAGAAAAGGAGTCTGAGGTAAGCTGTGACATGTTAAAGGTGATTTCAGTGCAACCCAATGAGTCCAGTCTGTAGCTCTTACTAACTGTCTGGATGCTGTTCCCTTTTCTGTCCATTCTTTTCTACCTCCTTTGGCAAACACAAGCCAGGAACAACTGTGGCCACACAGAGGGAATTCTAGTCTGTTGTGAGGCTGCCAGACTGAGATTTTTTTTCCAGGAATGGCATTTGTGTCTGGCACATTGGCTGGTTTCTGAGAACTTTGGTTTGAACGACTGAGGAATCACTGTTGGAATCACGACGGAGACGCACACAGACGAATGGGGGCTGATGAAAGGGGGAGTGCTTCATGTGGACTGCTGGAGGGAAAAGCACACTGATGTTTCTAACACTCATCTGGCTGGAGGAGGTGAGCATGTGTGGGTGGAGTTTCAGTTTTCATCAGTTGAGTCTAGATGGATTATGTGGGGCTAAGCCAAATTCACTGAATTCTCGCATAGGCACTATTTCCAGAAGAGCATTACAAAGATTAACTCCATGTTTAATGGTGACTTGATTAAAATAGTACAATCTATAGTGAAAGGGAAGTTTTGCACAGTGTTCATTTTTGCTGGTGGGAAATGTGAGTTTTACAGTAAAATTAAATATCAGAAGTGCATAGACAGATTAAGTAATTCACCAAGGCATATGGAAGACCCTCTTTATTATTTTATAATGAGCAGAATCAGATCCTGGAAGTTAATATTAGTGGAGGTTGCATTAAATGGTGCTCCTGTTAGTGGGTTAAATCATGTGTATTTCCCTTAATTCCCTCAATTTGCTGTTACAAAAGAATCTAAATGCAGTGGAACTGTGATAGTTGTTTGTTCAAGAAAGACCAGAAAGATAAAAACAGAGGATTTTAAACTCCAATACTGGCATCAACATTTTCTGCTTACTAATACTGGCTTTGGGATCCTCTAACACAGTCTACACCAACTTTTTCTGCCCTCTACCCAGCCAAAGCCAGTATCTGCCCACCATTACATATTCACAACCCTAAGAATTTCAAGGTAGTTAAATAGAATCATTTTTATTAAGCAGCCCAAGCAGACAAGACTTATTTTCACTTGATTGATTAATAGTCTCTAGGTATATTATTTGGTGAATAATGCCAATTTTTATTGAGTAATTGAAGAAATAATTATGGTTCAATATATGAGCAGCCCTATAGCTCTCTGTGCACTATTGCATCAGTTATTCAACAAATATCAACAATATTATGTTGCTCAAATGAATTATAGTTGACCATTCTACTTATTTTATTATACGTAGAATGTGTATGGATGGGTAAAAACCTTTGTTACCTTCTCCTCTGGCCAAATACCTGCTGCAGAATTAGAATTCAGTTGCTTGTGTCCAGGGCCATCCTGGGGGGAGGAGGGGGAGGGGAGGGGTCGGCAGCAAATTGGGGCAACTGCCCTGGGCCCTGCACTTTGGGGGCCCTGTGGAGCTGGGCAGAGCAGCGGTGGTGCAGAGCTGGGTGGAGCAGCAGCTCGGCACCCAGCTGCTTACTACCTCCCCTCTCTCACTGCTGCCACTGCCGATGGCAGCAGCAGCTTGTTTGGGTCTGGGATCAGAGTGGAGGTGGGGCCCCACAAGGGCTGATTTGCCCTGGGTCCTGTACCTTGCTTGGGTTGCCTCTGCTTGTGTCTTTCTCCTCCAGTGATAGGTTTACATTAAATTTATGTTTTTGTAACCATAGTCTCATGGGAAAAGGGCTACAAAAAACCTGTTTTTAAAAAATAAGGCTTAGATATTTTCCTTTACAGGAACCATGTCAGGAGGCTCTGCAGGACCATAAGACTGCTTTAGTGGATCCCTACTTGCATAGCAGCTTTCTGTAGGATCCAATGGCCCAGCTGCCAAAATTTTGTAGAACAGGAAAAAACAGTGGTTGCAGCCCAAGAAGAGAGAAAATTCCAAGCCATGTGTTGGCCTTTTCTCCTAAGAAGTCCCCTGTGCAAGATCTGTGTACTCTGGCTTTGTGTGCATGGGTCTAAAATTTAGTCTGGAGAGTGGATATAAAGCACAAATCCATCACTTCAGATTAAGAACAGATGTAGTCTAACAGTATTTGTGTCCTCATTAGTAATAACTGTGTTTAAATACAGACAAGATCTATTAATATAGAGACAATATTTTTAGTGAACAGTCAAAATCTAGGCATTTTTTTCATAGTCTGCATAAAAAATACATGGAATAATGTGTTCTATTTTTATCAGGTTTTTTATGTTTATTATTCTGGAAAAAAATGAGGTAGTCTATTTCAGCTATGAAGGGTTTCATCAGGCTTTATCTTGTTTAAATTATCAAATGTTTATACTTTTCTTCTACAGAAGAGTGATCTCTTATTAAGTGAAAAAAATTGGCTTTCAGTACATATCATTTGGCTGGTAAGTCAGGAGGACAGCAGGAGGAAGTAAAATAACATGGTAAGTTATGAACAAGTTACCAGAGAGACATGAGATATACAAGTTACAACTTTGTTATTTGTTTAGATGGTATTGATTATATAACATCCATGGTTACATTACTTGTGTGAATATCACCATGCTCTTCCTTCGTTGGAGTTTGGAATTACGTAACAATTTCATTAAAGAATGAATGTTTATAATATAGGCTTAAAAATATACTTTTTAAAACTTCTGATGGCAAATGATTGTGCAATGCTACCAGACACATGGTCTTTTCTGAGCATGTTATGTATAGCGCTGCTCTGGGTGTGTGATGCTCTGTTAAGCTGACATTTCATATTAATCTGCTTCCTCTGATAACCAGCTCCTCCATGTGATCATGAAAGCTAGAGAAGGCTTTTCAAGTCTCAACAAAGCAGATATGTGCATTTGTTTCACGACCCAGTGCTCACTCGTTCTATACATATCGCAGCAATTCCTAAAGGTGACAGGGACATAAACACAGTGTAGAGACTAGATTAATTTTGTTTAGATACTTGGATGATGATTCAATAAGCTTCTTAAAGAAGCACCTATTACATGACTGATCTGATTAAAGTCAGTGAGCCTGTTTTTGTGCTTAAGAAGAGACATTTCTGAATGAAGAACTTTGGAATGTGATTCTGCTACCTTTTCTCCCATTCATGGAAAAAGGTTCCTTTGTCTGTTTTGATCAAGCTCAGTATAATTACCTTTTCAAATCATACCACTTTTCCATTAATTCACAAACATTCCAGAAAGGGTATGATTTGTTCTTACGGTTAGGGCTGTGCTGATTCAGTTCGATTCGGAGGGAATTTGGCCTGATTCAGTGGCTGAATCTCCAAATCTGAATCGAATCAGGAGACCAATTAAAGGATCCGAATTGATTTGAAGTTATCTGAATCAATTTGGAAAAGATTCAGAGAGCTTTGGCGATTTGGGCAGTCCCTGCTCACTGCAGCAGGGAGCTGGACATGTACTCCATGCTGGTAAGTAGGGGGTGGGGGAGGGAGGACTGGAAGAGGTGGGAGGGGACCATGGGGGAGAGCCCTGCCAGGCCCCATCCCCTGCTTGCTCCCCCAGCCCCCCCATGGCTGCCCCACCTGCCCCAGCTCCTGGCTCTTTAAAAAAAAAGCCCTGAGTTACTGGCTGCTGCAGTGGCCTCAGGGGTTTTGGGAGCTCATGGAAGAGCCCCCCATGCAGTGCAGGCCAGTGGGTGGCAGCAGAGATCACCCCCCGCCTGGTAGGAGCTGGTAAGTCAGGGCTTTTTTGCTTTTTTGTTTTTTAAAGGGCTGGGAACTGGGGTGAGTAGGGCAGCCATGGGAGAGGCTGGTAGAGTGGGTGGGGGTTGGGGGACTCATGGCAGAGCCCCCCACATGGCATGGGACAGTGGGGGGCAGCCGGGATCATCCCCTGTCCCCCCATCCTGGCAGCAACTGGTGAGGGTGGGCTTTTTTTCAAATAGCTAGGAGCTGGGAGAATGGGCAGGGCAGCCATTGACAGCAGGCAGTGGATGGAGCTGATTTGGCCATTCGGCCAATTTAGCTGTGGCCAAATCTCTGAATCCGATTCGGCCGAATCGATTTGAGACAATGATTTGAATCACTGAATTGAATCACTGTCCCCCAAATTGGCTGAATCTGAATCCAAAGCGAATACTAGCCACTTTGCACAGGCCTACTTATTGTTACTTTTCTATAAGTAGAGCTACAAAAACATAACGGTAAGAAAAGTAACCATAGTGTCCTTCATGAGGCAAAGTCAATATAAAGGACCAGACCATTCCTCGTTCACAGGTATTTTGCAAAATCCACTGGTAGAGTCCAAAACACACAAGCATTTAGCTCCATCCCGTCTGCTACTTATTTTTTTCCACAGCTCACAGTTGAAAGTGCCCTCTGTAGCTTTCTTAAATTCCTTAGGAATTAGGCACATTCCCTGAGATGGTTTTGAGTTTCTTTTTTTCCGGCAGTCATCCCAGAGATTTCCATTATGACTTTTATATTCACTCTACATTGACTTCTTCCACAACCCCTACAATCAAGTATTAGTGTAAATGGAAATGTCCTGGTTTCAGGTTCCATCACCTGTTGTCTGTTCTTGTGGAAGGGATGATCATCATCTGGCTCACGGTTACTGCTAGGCTGCTGGGAAGGTGGCTTGCAACTTGTAGGGCTTTAATCTATGAACATTGCAAACCTCACTGCAGCTACTGGGCCCCCAGCTGCCTTCCATACAGGCTAAATAAGACAACCATTAAATGCTCCTTCTTAGTGATAGACAAAACAGCAGAAGCCATGGCTCAAATATGAAGCTGCGTAAGCTCAGCCACTGAACTGGTATAACTGTCTGAATCATAAGGAACCAAGGACAGCAAGAGAAGCACATGAGCATGAGAGAAAACCAAGAGAGTAAGGTTTATGGGCATAGTCCTGGCCAGAAAGATGCTTGAAATGTGAGCTGGTAAACTGCCTCCTGTTTGATTCTTATTCTGTTCAGGAAATAGGTTTCTGTGTGTTTTCCGTTGTAGATAAACAGGACAGCACCAAAGAAATCCCTAACAATCATCAATTTCACTTCTCAAAGGATATAACCTGATGAGCTGTATGTACTGGTTAACAGCTTGGGCTGCAATGGGGAAAATTGGTCTTTTGACTTAATTAGACCTATGTTATAATCCTGTTTCCAATCACAACCCTTTTTCCCCACTTCCCACAAAGTTCACATAGTGCCACCTCCACAATTCTTCTCAGCTGAAGCTCTCCGGGGCAGATTCTCCTTTTGTGTAAATTGCTACATCTCCACTGCCTTTATAGGAAGGAAAAAACCAAGCCTGTGTCCTACTGTGTTCAGTATGTATTCTGCCTAGAGCAGCCACAAGCCTTTTCCAACCTTGCAAAAATTACTATACTCTCTAATTTAAATACTTTCC